TTCTACTTCTTTTTGGTTAATGCCTTTACTGATTAAAATTATCGTTTCTTTTTGACCGTTAATTTGCACTATGAGGTTTGCTTGTGAAGAAGAAACTGTTAAATTTTCTGTTTGCGGTCAACTATTTTTACTAATAGAGTTTTCTTCAAAATAACTTCACATTTCCTCGGTAATATGGGGTGCTAGTGGGTTTAACAATTTAAGGAAGTTTAAAAAGTAGTCTAATGGCATAACCTTTTTTTTGGCTTGATAGCATTTATTAATAAATTCCATGAGCGAAGAAACCACCAAATTCAATTTTACTTTTTCATAGTAGACACTTACTTTGATAACCATTTCAGCATGAGCCGTTTCTATTTCATCGTTTCGAACATTAGTCAAAGTATTTTCGCGGTAAAGGATAAAAAAGTTATAAACGCGGTCTAACCATTTTTTCATAGCTCACACTCCATTCGTATTGAAACTAGTGGTTTGTTCGGGTGGACCTAAAAATATTTCGTAAAGTCGTAGAGCATCCGCCCCATATTTTTCTACTAGTTCATTAGGGTTAATGATATTGCCCCGTGATTTTGACATTTTTTCCCCATCAGTTCCTAAAATCATGCCTTGACAAATGAACTTTTGAAATGGTTCAGGATGCGAGACTATGCCAACTTTATAAAGAACCTGGTGTCAAAAGCGAGCATATAGCAAATGCAAATTAGCGTGTTCCTGCCCACCAATATAAATATCGACCGGCAACCAGTTTTTTATAACTTCTTGAGCTTCTGTGCTGTTAAGAGTTAAGTAATTATCATTTTTTCTTAATAAAAAGGCAATATAGTATCAGCAAGAACCCGCTCACTGGGGCATAACATTAACATCTCTTTTTCCTTTTAAGTCATTTTTATTTTTGACATTTACTCAATTTTTGGCTTTTTGCAAAGGAGAGTAATAATGAGGGTTAGGAGCAAAATCAGTTAAAGGAGGAAGGGTTAGGGGTAATTCTTTTTCGGATAAAAGTTCTTTTTGGTTGTTTTCTCAGTGGATAACTGGAATTGGCTCTCCTCAATATCTTTGCCGAGAAAAAACTCAATCCTTTAAGTGGTAGAAATACCCCATTTGTCCTTTTTTTTCTTTTTCTAAATGTTGGTTAATAACCTCAATAGCCTTTTCTTTATC